AAATAAAGGTATTAATCTTATTTTTTCATCATAGGTTTGTATTGATTTTATTTGTTTTATTATTAAAGATAGCGACGGCGCATTTTCAATCACAAAAAGTTGTTGTTGTGGTTGTTTTCGTTTGCAAATATAATTTTATACCAAGGCTGGAGTTTATTATCATTGATATTGAAAAGGAAAAAAAACTCAATAATATAGTTTTTTTACTCATTTAAATGATATAAGGCTGGTACAACTATACGTTCATTTTTTAAAGAATTCTCAAACTACATAACCCTCTTATGAGGTACTTTTAAGTAAAATAATTAAAAACTTCAGTTGCTACTTTTGTTATTATTAATATTATSATAATGTATTGTTTTAAACTAAGAGCTTAGAGTTTCATCGTTCTGCCTTGAGGGCTACCTGTYAGATTATAGAAATAGAATAAAAATAAACAGGAATTTGAGAGAAATATAGGTATATTAATATGAAGGGAATTGCATGTATTTTGGCAAAGTACATCTGGATGCAGGAGTCGCATTTCAGAGAAAACTCGGAGTTTATTTTTAAATAGCAAATATTTTACAAGTATGAAATCTGAAGCTGGCATCCAGCAATTCAGTTCCAATCTATAGTATTTTCTTCATAATAGTTTAATTTCAAAATAAGAAATTTCGTTATATTCAAAATAGCAATTGAAATTGTTTGATAAGGTTCATAAAGAGATGATTCGGATAGCGAATTCACAATTCTTTTTGTTTTCATGGCAATTTCTTTTTATTTATTTTAAGTGCAAACTTAACGATTTCGTCTGGAAGTTATGTTTTTTTCAATTCAATGTGTTGCTGTTGGTTTTTGAAGGATTTAATGTTTTGACATGTTTGTGTTAATTGATTTTGAATGCCTCCTGTGGCCATGCTAGTAAAATGAGTTTTCTCGGCTAAACTCAAAATAGGTCTTTGAGCAATGCAAGAGCAAGAATTTGTTCGGGAAATCTTCTCGGGCTTCGGCGTTTCCATTTATCTTCAGGCTTTTTGAAGTCAATTACTTATTTTTTTTATTAATTATCGTGTTATTAATTAATTGTTTTTGGTGCCTTTTAAAAATTTTTGTCAAAGATCTCACTCAATAACAATAACAATATCAATCGTTATGTTTTGTTCTATTCTGCTTTTATGAGTTCATTAGGATGAGTAATCTTTGAAAATAAAGTTCTGAACTTCCGTTGTTTTGGGGAATAAAACGTAAATCCACTTTAAATGAAATTTTATAGCTGTCTGTATATTCTTACCCATATGTGACCGGCTTTTCTTAGAAAATAATACATATCTTTACTTGAGATATTTCCATTCGTTATAAGTTTTCATTTTATAAGGCAGAACTACTTGCAAAAAAAAAATCGGATTGTATATCTTGCTATGGAATCTCTGCTTCACAGCAGTCAGAGCATATCGCTTTGTCAATCCCTTCTTAAGTTTTTCAATAGAAATCCCCACGAACTGATATCAATATTATTTTTATCCATGAAGACGCTACAACGTATTTACAGACGTACAATATGAATCAAAACAAATATGTTCAAACTTTTATCAACTTCCAGGTCTCTCTTGTGGTAGTCATCGAGCTAATCCGGATACCCTATAGATGTTTATATCTTAAATGTTCTTAAGCATTACAGCATGACCCATGCATTTTTTTCGCCTATTTGAGATCCCGAAGTAAGTTTGTCAAAATACAATGCAAAAAGGTGTATATCACGATATGAAAACTATCCCTCGTTTCCAACACAGCACTTTTTTCTGTTTTCAAAACAGGGAATTTACATTCATTATTTTGAAGAATATGTTACCATATTAAGTCTTTAACTATTCTTACCAGAAATCAAGACGCGAAGAAAGATGATCAAAATCTTGCAAGAAAACATTGTACCAGGTTTGTAAACACAACAGCTTCACTGACACTTAGTCACATAATCAGCCTAACGACCCGTATTTTTCGAGAATTTTCGATTAACGCCTCCCACGGCTTTGTCATTGATATGCCTAATGATTGCTTAKTTATTCATTTATTGATGTTTCAACAAGAGGYATTCATAAATGTGACGCTCGCCTAAGTAGAAATGATTAGAAAGCTTGGAACCTATATTGGTGTGTGATAATATGAGCATACTTAACCTTCAACGGTGATTTCCGAAGAAGTTTGTTTTAAAACTTTTTATAGATGTTAAAAATTATTTACGAAATAATTTCATGCTCATCAAGATAGATAATAGATAGATAGATGTAACGTTTATTAAGAAATTAATATACATAAAATTCATAGTAATAAGAGTTTTCAAAAGTGCCGACACAAGATCATACTAATTAAACCGAGTAGTGATAATATTTCAAAAGACTAAATAACCTAGATTTGTGTTTTTTGAAATAAAGAAAAGTTTAGTGAAGTCTTGAAAACAGATGAAGTTTCCAGACAATTAAGGCAATAAGAATTGTATTCTATCAGTTAGAAACAAAATTATTACAAGCTACAYTCTGTCACGGAAATATATRATTCCGGCGCGAAAARTAGAWTTTTTACGGCTTTAGATATGGGTACCGCAGGGGCCTACCTTCATACAAACACTTTAAAGTGYTATATATCTTTTATGACGAAAAAAGGACGTTTGAAGCCGTCCTTAAAATAGTTAAACTTAACATACAGGATTYACTGTGTATCGTTGGCAGCTAGTACTCGGTCAGCGGAACTCCCTATGGCAATGAAAATATGACGTCATAATGTTGTTTATTCTGATCTTGATATTTCTTTTCAGAAACATTTCAATTCGCAATAATATTCAAATAGAATTAGAAAAAGTATATTAATTATAAAGTGGTTATCAGGAAAATAAAAAATGCACGGAAAAGCACCATATCTCTAACATCTGCCCTTGTTATTTCAGTTCATGTCATTTGACGCTGAGTTCATTGAAGTTCGTTACCGTATTATTTATTCTATAAATTCATCAAACAGTCTCGTTTCTAGGATACTGGTGTATTATTAACGTTCGCAGTTGCTAGTTTGATCGGCAGAGCTTTCTAGAAATAATTCACAAAGTAGTTTGAA